CATGTAGTAACCGACATGTCATAACTGACATGAGATATCGGTCAATCGACGACGATGTCGGTTCTTAGTGAATTTTTACTCGATAAGTGATTGTCTTGAGATTGGTGTCAGAACCTTGAGATCCATAAAGACATTATCTACTTGTACAACTTCAACCATCCTTCTGCTGAATATAACTACCTGATTGTCACTTAATTCGGTTTACTGAAAATGATGTCAACACAAATGATATACTTTAATAACAAAAAAATATCAATGGTTTACACCTGAGAAGTTAAATATTAGTTTATGTATAAATATATTATGATATTAATAATCTAATATGGATTCAAATGATATACTTTAATAACAAAAAATATTAATGGTTTACTTTTAGATGTAAATTTACTTTCACAGTTTATATACAAAATAAAAATTAGATGATTTAGTGTTTAAACATGGATCAAAATTTAGTTTCATTTACGGGTAAAAAATAAACTAATACTGCAGAAAAATATTGTGAAAGATAAAAAAAAAAATGAAGAAATGATAACAAAAAGAGTGAAAAAGTCTCAACCATAAGAGAGAGAAAGAGTGACAATATGGTTTTGACCGTGAAGACTGAATAAGACAATACATATTTATCATCCAATTATTTAGTGGATCTTGTGTTATATATGAGGTATTTTATATTGGTTTTGGGCCTAATAGATTGAATAGTTTGAGCCAAAATACACAGTTTGTTAAATTTATTTATTTTTAGTTGATATCATTTGTGTCATATAGGCCTAAAATTGAGGTCATCTAAAAGTTTGTGACAGAAGCGACTTCACACATTTTTATTTCTATATTATCCACAATTATGAAACTATACTTTTTATGAATATAAATAACATATTATGTTAGTTATTGTTATTTTTTTATTATAACGCATGTTTTTTTTTCTTAAGAGAATGACAAAGAATATATTATTACTAAATTGGTGCAATAAACAAATTGAATGCATCAACTATTTTTTTTTCTTATCTTATATAATAAATATTTGTTTATAAAAATGAATTTTACTCCTTTTATAATTTATGTAATACAATCTAAAATGTATTTTTTTATTAATGTACAATTTTAAAAATTATATTAAATTAAATTTTGCATAATTACATGTAAAAAATAAGAAATTTCTTAGTGACATGAACACAAATAATTATTGGCATTTTTGTAACTTTACAAAAAATGATTTATCTTGCACGTCATTATGATCACAATCGGACTTATTTTGCAAAAAAATAAATTATTGAATTTATTTTTACATTTAAAAAAAAGTGGAAAAATATAGTACTCAAAATTGAGTATTTTTTCTTAAGTACATTTTTTTAATTTAAAATGACTAATATTTGTACATTGTTATTTGAATTATTCTATACCAGATTATTATCTATAGAATAGAAATAATGTATTATGTTATTATCGAAACAAATTTGGAAAAAAAGTTTCAAGAAGCGTCATTAATGTGACAAATACATTTTTATGTCAAATATCACTAATATTTTTCTAAGTAAAATTAATTTAGTTTGAAGATTATATATATATATATATATATATATATATATTGTATTTTGTAGTCACAATAAATTATATGTTGTTGTTTCTAGAGTCATGAATCTCTGTTATTTGATGATTGTTATTTATGATGATAATGGTGATAATGAATATAATTCATCCACTACTAATATTATATTTAAGAAAATAATTCAAAACATAATAAATAATATTTTCATCTACGTCATTTGTAACATCAAGCTGCGCAACGCGCGGGTGCCGTAATAGTATATTATAAAGCAAAGCAGCTCAAAATTTCCCCCCAAAAACTACATTTAATACATTGTAATAACTTTTTTCAATTTCTATGCATGATTTATCAGCAAAAAATATTTATATCATATAAACAATTAATTTATATTTAAAATGTATTGGAATTTGCACTCCAATTTTTCTTGACTAAATAAATGCTTTAACTACATCTATTACCATGAAATAAATTTTGTTAATTTCTATGTATTATTTACCATTCAAACAATAACATAAATATGTGTTACAAGTAATAGTCATAATCACTTATTATACAAATCCCAATTATATAGTATTTTTTATAATCAATTATTGTTACAAATAATGTTTAATATTATACATAATTATTTATTATGGATTCTCATCTCAATATCTCACTTATTATTTGTCTCACTTACAGTTTGTGAGTATGAGTTCCTTTGCTTTTATTATATTTTTTATAATAATAAATTATCAATCTTATTTAATTAATCACTAAAATAAACATTCAAATCAAATATTTTATTTAGTTATTATTTTTATTGGAACATCAAACACAATATTATGTTTTCGGTTTTATTGAGTATATTTCAAGGTAAACTAGAAAAAAATAATAACTAATATGATATCTATATGTAACATATGTTTTCATAAAAATATTTAATAGTAGCACCATACCACATTTGAAACATATACTCTATATTTATGGAATTTACATACACATTAAGAAAATATGTAATCATCTCTTATTAATCTAATATTGTATAATTTTATATCTTTATATAATTCTAAGAAATTACAAGTGATCATTAATTTATTTGTATTGAGTACATCATTCCAAAACAAGTAATTTAAATTGTAGAATATCTAATAATTCACAAACTTTTATGTGAGCTGAAGTAAGAGTTAGTCAAGACAACGTGTCATTCTTTTTTAACAAAAATGTGAACTTAGACCTCCAATTTTCACACTTTGTTCATTTTATTTTAATATTTTTTTAAATAATAAATAAAATAAAAATAGAGTGAAATAAAAAATAATGATGTTATATTTATCATATATAACATAATTTATTCGACTAAAAGAGATGTATTTTTCGAGAAAAAATATCATATCCATATGAAATAGATCTAAAAAATATTGAATAACATTAACTTGGGTAAGAAAAAAATAGAAAATGGTAACATAAAGAGTGAGGGGTCTCAACAACAACAAGAGAGTTAAAATAAGTATTTATATAGTTTTGACTCAGAAGACAAAAATGATCATATTGATTGAATATATCTGATAACCATTTGTTTTATTTATTTCATTTGATCTTAAATTTGAGGTTACATAAAAGTTGGTGAAAAGTGACAACGCTTAATTTTTATAATAAATACACAATTATACAACTTAATTTTTATAATAAATACACAATTATACAGCTAAAATTTTTATAATAAAAGTAGCATAATGTGTCAATTATTGTTTAACTTTTGTTTATAAACAAATCTTTTTTTTTTAAATGGGAGATTGATGAGAGTATATTATCGCAACTGAATGTTGTAGTGATAAAGTTAAATACAACTTATTATAATGAATCCACTACTTTTTTCTTATCATATATCAAAATGTTAATTTCGCAATAATATGTTTTTAATATATTTTATATAGTATAATTTAAATTTACTTTTCGTATTACATTACAAAAAAGTTGTCAATTTTTATTTCTAAAAATTACATTGAATTGTCGTTTTCACCGATTTCCTGGAAAAATAAGTACTTTAATATATTACAGTTCTCATTAATTTCATGCAATAATAATAATAATAATAATAATAATAATAATAATAATAATAATAATAATAATAATAATAATAATAAGTATTTTAATAAATATACAATTTTACAACAAAAATTTTATAAATAGAAATAGCATAATGGGCAATTATCTTAATTTTTGTCCATATTAAAATATTTTTTTTTCCATAATAGAATGATGAGATCATAATATTACAATTGAACGTTGTAGTAGATAAAGTTAACCGCAAACTTATTATAATGCATCAACTACTCTTTCTTTATCGTGTATCATAATGTTAATTTTCTTTTATCTCTTTTAGATTTTATATAATATAATTTCAATGTTTTTTTTGGTATTACATTACAAAATTTTTCATAGTGTTTTACTATAATATATTGAATTATAGTTTTCAATGGTTTTATGCACAAATAAGTATTTAATATTACATTGAATTACAATTCTCATGAATTTTATGCAAAAAAAATAAATATTTTATTGAGTTAATGAGTCTATTTATGACTTTATGAAAAATGATCAATCTTTCACGTCGTTCTATAATCACCATCGCACTTAATTTGTGAAAAAACGAAGTTGAGATTTATTTTGTTAATAAAAAAGAAAAAAATATGTAGACTTAATTTAAAATTAAATACATGCAGATAAAAGTTATTTTAATTTTTATTAGATATTTAATTTGTATTTATATATTTTAATTTTTCATCTTCTTACATGTTAACATTAATATTTAATATTAGTTTATTTGTACAATAGTAATCATGACTTTATTTTCTTTTTTGAACTATGAAAATTATGTTATCACATATACATTTTTATGAAAATTTTTGAAGAAGACTCATTAATGTGACCAATATTTTGTTTTCATGGTATTTATCACATTTTTGTAAGCTTACAAATTTAATTTTAAAATTTTTCAAAACAAAATATATTGGATTTTATAATTTTTTTTTAATTATTATTGTTTCTGGAGTCACAATCCATATTGTCTAATTATTGTTATTACTATTGGTGATACACAGTTCACTTTCTATTGGTGTTGTATTTGTGGAAGTATTTTTAAATGGATTAATAAAAAAATTATTTTACATTATCTCAATAAATTTTTTAAAAAATATTTTTATTAAATTTTCATTTATTCACACCATTTTTAATATTAGGTCGCGCAACGCGCGGATAACGTACTAGTAAATTATAAATAAGTATCAGCTAGCTTATCAGCTCAATCCATCAAACAAAAATGAAACAAAGAATCGTCCTCAAGAAGTTTCTATGCTTCGAAGTTCTACAATGACCCCTATTTTACGACTCGCCATTTACAAATCAGTAGCAGTTGTAAATATCCACTTCGGTTCGCCCTTTCCGCCACCGACAACCACCGCAACAAATCCCCAAAATGTCGGAGACAAAGTTCAGCGTGATGGTGAGCCTGTTCAACTGGATGCAGAAGAGCAAGTCTTCCTCCGTCAAGCGTTCCAAATTCCGCAAGTTTCTCGACACCTTTTGCCGCCCCAAGAACGGCGACGACTACTTCTCGGCCATCCGCTTGATCCTGCCCAGCCTCGACCGCGAGCGGGGATCGTACGGCCTGCGCGAGCACGTTCTTGCCACATGCCTCATAGACGCCCTCGGCATGTCTCGCGACTCCCCTGACTCTCAGCGCCTCCTCAACTGGCGCAAGGGCGGCCCCAAGTCTGGTACCTTCGCCGGGAACTTTTCTCTCGTTGCCGCCGAGGTGTTTTTCATTTCATTGATCCTTTTTTTGTTATTGGGTTCTATGATTTCTGCGGCATTAGTCCCGAGAAGCATCCTGTTGATTATGAATGGGCGCCTGCAAACTTACAACTTCTGGATGACTAAACGTGAATAATTTCATCTCGTCGAATTACTGATTTAAAATTTGCGTCTTTTTCATTGGCTAGCTCAGGCGTATACTATGCGTAAATTCCAATTGCCAGTTGCTCAAGTGATTATCAATACTGTGATGATCTCCAATTAATGAGACTATTCTTAGCACGGAAGAACTGATGTTCTTGAAAAGCTACTGGCGATAAAATGAAAACTTTTGTATGTAAACTATAAGACGATACTGAAATGTTGCTGATCATAGTATTTCATTTGTTTCCTCTTTTCCACTTCCTTTTGAATAATTAAATTCCGCCGAGTTTCTTTTTCGAATTCCACCTCTTTTACATATCATATGGTTGAGGAGAAAGGTTTTCGTGGTCAACCTTTATTTTTTTTTTTAATGTTTTCCTCCATCTTGACAAATTATGCATGGGTCTCTTCTTAATCTGGCTAAGTCCAATGCTGAATATAAGTAAAAGACTAGCTGAATAGGTGATGTTTAAGGTATCATGATTCCAATTTCACTAACTTACTAATGTTATGATTTGGTTTGATTCCAAATTCAGCTCTTCTTTTGTTTTTTCGTTAATTCATTTATACATTTGCTAAGTTGTATGGTTTTGTATGTTTGAATGATTTTGTGCACCTGTGTAGAAAGCTTTAATGTTGGTTTTAATTTTTATTTACCGGTGTAAGACTTGGGCTCTTGCATATGGTGGCAGGTGCTACAACGGAGGCAGGCCATGACTTCAGGGAACTTAACTATAAAAGAATTAAATGATTTACTTGATCGATTGGCTTCTAGTGAAAATAGGTAAACTCTTTCTTTCCTTTTCATTTCCCTCTCTTTTATGTCTTTTGTAAGATAAAGTCATCTTCTGTTTGTGAAACATATTGGAACAATAGTCATTAGACGTTTGCATTGCGCATGAGCTTGTTGTTGATGTTATATCTCTCAGTTCCCATGAATTAGTTATTCTTCTATGAACATGCTAATATGACAATATGTAAATTTTTCCATAATGAATTACCACGATGAATTTGTATAATCAGCTCTGTGTATGCTTTTCTCAATTTGATAGATCAGATAGAATTAAGAAAGTTGTGGCTGAAGGTATTCCATGTGATTTGCATCATGAATTGATTCTGGATTCATTCTTGGTACAGGCCAGAGAAGATTTCTATCCTTTCTGATTTGATCAGGAAAACTAATGCCCAAGAAATGAAGTGGATCATCATGATAATTCTGAAAGGTTTATGCTCAGTAATCTTTGCCTGATATGATCATTCACTGATATTATTAGGAATAACTCTATTTATTACATCTTGTTTATTTTCAGATCTTAAGCTGGGAATAAGTGAAAAAAGCATATTTCATGAATTTCACCCTGATGCTGAGGACTTGTTCAATGTTACTTGTGATCTAAAATTAGTTTGTGAAAAATTGCGGGATCGTAGTCAGAGGCATAAGCGCCAGGTCTGTTCCACAACGCTGGATTAAGTACCTTATTATGTGATATGTATCCTACTACTGAATGAGAAGAGTCCTAGTTTTTTATTTTTTTGTTGTAATTCACATCAGGCTGTGCAGCATGAGGCGTCATTTTTCTGCTTGTTTTGGCTCCCTTTAGATACTTCACCATTATCTTGTAGCTAGACACTGTGTCTTGGGGGCTTCCCTATTTTTAGCTACGGGCTTAAGTGTTTTCAGTCCTTTTTGTTCCTCCTCAAAGAGCCGGATTAATGTTTGAAGATGAGCAATGGAGCATAAGTCATTAATTTTACACAGTCTAAGTATTTGCTCAACTTATGCTGGGACTACTCTGTGGTAATGCGGATTTATTTTTGCTTTACTTGAAGGTTTTTTGTTATTGTTACTGTCGTTAAAATGAACCACTGAGCTGTGGATATACTGATAAACTTGCCAGGATAAGTTGTTTCTTGTCTTTTTAGTTGTGTTAAAACTTAAATATGAAAGGTGTATCTGATATGTGTATTTTCTTTTTCTGCTTTTCGAACTTTTAATTTGTTCTTAGCAATCATTATCACCTCATCCATTCCTTCAATATTCACGACATAGATCTCTTCACGTAGATGATTCATACTGTATTCTGTTTTCTTCAACACCGTGTTTTGAACTTTGAAGTTTTAATTATTTCATTTATGAATATAGTCTTGATCGAAGTAATGGTTACTATAATTCTGCAGGACATCGAAGTTGGCAAACCTGTTCGGCCCCAACTAGCACTGAGGGTCAGCAATGCAGCTGCTGCATGGAAAAAGGTCCACATTTGCAGTTTCAGTGAATAAGAAAAGAAATCCTAGTAATTAGTACAAGAAACATAGAAATTATGGTTATTCATTAAGTTAAGCTTTGGCGTTTTGCAATATTTTTTTCCCTCTTTTATTATGCTTGTTTTATTTTGTTATTTAGTTTCATTACGTGTTGCTTGTGGTATGTATTTCTTTCCAACCTAATAGCTTCACGGAAAGGAAGTTGTTGTCGAGTGCAAATTTGATGGTGATCGCATCCAAATCCACAAAAATGGAGCAGAGATAAACTTTTTCTCGAGGTATTTGTCTTTTTTAATTGATGCTTCCTTTATGGTAATTGTTGATGTGTTCTGTTGTGGAATTTTCAATTTTATGCAGCCATCTTAAATAGTGATAATTTCCTTCAAGTATAAAAGATATTTAATTGTGTAATTAACTCGAGTTGGCTGCCTAGGTTTTGGTGCTGAACCTTTTTTGTTAACTTCATAGTAGTAAGCTCTACATGCTCCATGGTCCTGATTCTGTCGTAAAAATGTTTTTACGTAGAATGTTGATAGTTTCAAGTAAAACTGTACATTGTTTGTCGTCTAAAAACAAAATAGAAAGCATATAGAATTCTACAATTATTTCTCCAGGCCGATCTAAAAGCTGATATCAGTAACACATGCCCAGTGCACTTCACTTTGTAATTGTCATTTCATAGGCACCATAAATCCAGCAGCCGTTATGCATGCCTGAATTGATTATTGTGTTATTTTGCACAGGAATTTTCTTGGTCATCCAGAATATGAACATGGCATGTCAGACGTTATAAGAGAGAACATTTTGGCTGACAGGTGAATATTCATTGAAGAGGCAGTTGATCTTATAAGTTAATGATATCTGTCAATTTCATGTGATTGTATTGCTTGGTGACCTTGAAGTTGTGTGAGATTTAAATGATTTGTTTTGGTTAATACCTGTAGGTTGTTACACTTTATTGCCTTCTTGATGCGGAATTTGCTTGATTTTCTCCGCAATTAAAGAACGAAAAAGGAAATGAAAACCTTGTATTTGGATGGAAATCCAGGAAAAGGGTGAAAATATGTGTGTTTTGAATTGTTTGATCGATGTTATGATACGCAAAGTCTGAAACTCCAGATCCATCTTGGGGCCCGAACAGAATATTTAATATTATATGAATGCTACAATGCAATGGAATGAACCTTCTTTCCTTTCCTGAGTATGAAAATTTGAGTATCGTCGTAGCTTATCTCACTCAAACATGTTCCTCATGAATGTTAACTGGTTAAGAAACCACAATTATTTTGTCTGGATTTCTATTACATAGTAATTTAATCAGCATATTCCTGTTACATTAGCCTCAGCAGACGTATGGACTTCCAGATTTTATAGTATTCTGTATCCAAAAGTGATAGAGATTAGGAAAAGTAAATCATGATAAGGAAAACAAGAATGGAATAAAATAAGTAACGTACAAATCAAGGGATTGACTGGAATCATGGGATCCTACTTGGCATGGAAGGCTATCAAATCGTTATCATATTTATTCTTTATTAACAATTTCCTTAAATAAATAATATGCTTGTGGCGAGGAAGTGGTGATGGGGCAATGAGAGAAATAATATTGTTTGTTGGCTTTTTAGCTTGGGCGGGATTATTTCCCAAGTAGAACTCCGTGTTCTTGGAGAACCTTTGTCCTTTTTCTTTGTTTTTTATTTAAGAATATTTAGTTTATTTACATTGGCCTTTACTCATATCGAAAAGTCAATCATGCTCTTGATAATGTCCCTTTCATTGGATAGATCGATAATATTAGATAGTTTAACTAGTTACCACCTTTATTGCAGGTGCATTCTTGATGGTGAGATGTTGGTCTGGGACAAATATGCGAATAGATTTGCAGAGTTTGGTTCAAACCAAGAAATAGGTTCTGATATTCTCTTTGGTCCCATGCTTTCTGCTATTTGTTAATTTCCGTCTAGAACTGTACTCACTCTTGTGCATAATTTCCTATCCATCTTTATAGCGAAGGCTGCAAAGGATGGGCTTGATAGCGACCGACAGGTATCTTTTTGCATATGAGTTACGAGAAGAATCATTGTCTGGCTGGAAACCCCAAACCATCTCTAAGTTTTGATCTTCACTCTCTGGTGCAGTTATGTTGTATCCTTGAGGTTTGAGCTGTACAGACCTAGATATGATTTATCGAGTCTTGTCCATATTTAAGATCTGCAAGCAAGATTCATGACGAATTCCTGGACTTCCTTTGGTGTTACTGTAAGTAAGCCTTGACCTGTGGCTAGATGTTGCATTTGACATTCTTTATGTTGGAGATACCAGTGTCATTCACCAGAGCTTGAAGGAGAGACATCAACTTCTCAGGAAAATTGTCAGACCAGTTTCTGGTCGTTTGGAGATTTTGGTTCCAAATGGGGGTCTTAATGCACATCGTCCTGCTGGTTAATGGAGCTGCTATTTTGCATTTTTTATTTATATTTCTTTATAGTAATTGTAGGCAAAGTTTTCAAGGAAATACTTATTCTCTTTTTTTTTTTTTTAAACAACAATCACTTTGTTTTCTTATTTGGTCCGCTGATTTTTAACTGCAAACATGATACAGGGGAGCCATGTTGGTCTCTAGTTGTTTATGATGTTGATAGCGTCGAGAGATTCTTTAAAGAAACCATCGAGAACAGGTCAGCAGTTTCACCATGCATCATTTAAGTCGCTTTATTTGGTATTTATGTAACTATGTGCATGATATACATGAACATCAATGTTAGATATGATTTCCAATAGCATTTTGGTGTTCTTATGTATGATCTTTTGGTGGGGGGTACTTCAGTTCAATATCCTGGGACCTACTTTTTTGTCTGTTATAGTTTACTCTACAATATCCTTATCCTGTTTGGCTTACTTCTATGTCAATGAAATGAGAGAAATGTAACCAGCGAGCTAGTTATCACCTGAAAAAGGTAAGAGAAGAATGAGGAAAGTCTCTTGGTTGGGACGTAGAGGGATACAGATAAGGCCAATCAATGCAAGTTTGTATAATTTATTAATTATAAAGCATCTGAATGGGGTATAGTGGATAATAATTTTATTTTTTTTTATCAAGTGTCTTACATTTGCATGTATGATTACTGAAGGTTATAGTCGGATAATTATCTTGAAGATTTTTTTTTTGGCAATATCTGGCTTCTTATCCGTAAATGAATTTCAGAGATGAAGGAATTGTTCTGAAAGATCTTGGATCCAAGTGGGAGCCGAGTGATCGAAGTGGAAAATGGCTGAAGTTAAAGCCTGATTACATTCGAGCTGGCTCTGATTTAGATGTTCTTATAATAGGTATGGAATGACCCGTCTCACCCCTGAAAGAATTATTTGTCCACAACTCTTCTTTAACCAGTCATTTTGTGCAGGAGGTTACTATGGTTCAGGACGGCGTGGGGGTGAGGTATGGATACTGCTTCAGTAATAGTTGCATTTTCACCCTTCTCCTCTTAATTTATTTATTTATTTATTTATTTTTTTTTTTATTTTTATTTTTTTTTGGTTCCGCGTGCTTTGAAGGTAGCACAATTTCTTGTTGGTCTTGCAGAGCGTCAGGCCCCTAACGCATTTCCCAGACGGTTGGTTTTTCTTTCTTTTTTTTAAGAATGTTCTAGAAAGTGTATTTATTTGTTGAATTGATGTTAGGATGAGACATTGGACATGTTTTACATTTTTTTTTTCTTTTCTGCTACCTAGTTTCATATTGATCATACTTTTTTCTATTCATGTGTTGAGCAAAGTTCGTTTATCGTGTATCTACTTGGGCATTAAAACAGAAATCAATTGGTGAAACTTGTCTCTCTGGACAATTATACGATTGAACTTAGAATAGGTGTCTTCCTGACAATTATACGATTGAACTTAGAATAGGTGTCTTCCTGCTTTGTACTTTTAGATGATTTCTGCTGTTGGACATATTGTTCTCCCTTTTTCCATTTTCACCTCTGTGGGTACTCACATTTATGAGTCTAGAATGTGTTAGAACTATTTCGGTTTCTATTGGATATAGAAAAATATTGGAAATTTTCTGGACAAGTGGACAAAAGAGATTTTGTTTTTTGGTAGCAGAGATATGTGAGTGGGCGGATTTTCTTTGGTTTTTTGGGAAATGTGTATAAATGGTTGATTTTTAATTAAATTGTGTTCATAAGATTAAGGAGGAAAAGGTGAGATAGAATGAAGAATATCTTTTTCTGATATGTTTTTCCTAACCCTTTGTCTAATCTTATGCAACTTACCTTCATTTTATGTTCTTAGAAGAATATATTGGTTAACTATTATGCCAAACTCCATAAGGAAGCTGCACATATATAAAGATGGCGAGTGTTCTGATCTTTGCTATTGCAGGTTTGTTTCCTTTTGCCGAGTGGGTACAGGACTTTCTGATGAGGAGCTTAATGTTCTTGTCACCAAATTGAAACCTTATCTCAGGTAGCTTCAAATTCTTTCAAGATTGTATTTGGACCTATTTTACCCATTTATCATACTGCCTTTGGCCTTCAGAATGTAGTTAGTTTTCGTGGCACAAAGATAGCCAAGTGAATGGAATTCTTTTGTTATCCACTTGAATTGTATTTAAATTTTAATTGAGTAGTTCCAATTCCAGGAAGTCTGAATATCCAAAGAAAGCACCTCCAAGCTTTTATCAGGTTACAAATAACTCAAAGGAGAGACCAGATGTTTGGGTTGAAAGCCCAGAAAAGTGAGTAGAAAGTTTTAGGATTCTTCATGGTCCTACTTTTCCACCATTTCTCACCCTTATGTCCTTGGATGCAGATCAATTATAGTTTCCATCACTAGCGATATTCGAACGATCAGATCTGAGGTATTATTTTTTATCATTTGGATCATGTGCATCAACAATATCCACTAAGATAGTGACTAGGCTCCAAGTTCTTATTCTTTATTTACATTGTTGTAACAACTGTTTTGTGACTTTGTTATGAAATGGTTCTAATCAATTCATTTAATATTTAAGAAGCATTGGTAATATATGTATTGCTCCTAATTTTGTTGGCCCTAATCAATCTTTTAATGTTTAAGGATTATTGATTATATGTATGCTTTCCTTATTTTGTTGGTCAAGGTATTTGCTGCACCATATAGCTTGAGATTTCCAAGGATTGATCGAGTGAGATATGATAAACCTTGGCACGAATGCCTTGATGTGCAGTGTAAGTGACCGTCTTTATTCGTATCTATATGGTCTTCAATGGATAAAAAAATCATTCTTTATTATTTTTAGAGTCTTTGTATAATGGTGTGCCCGCTGGCCAAAATAAATATCAACATAATATTTTCTTTTTACCTGGTGCAGCTTTTGTTGAATTGGTACATTCAAGCAATGGCTCCACACAAAGAGCAAATGATAATGAAGCTGTGCACGAACATAAACCAAAACGGGCCAAGGTGTTGAGAGGAACAAAGAAGAATGTTTCTATTGTTCCTTCCCACTTTATTCAGACCGATGTTTCTCATGTTAAGGGCGAAACATCGATATTTTCAAACCTGGTATTTTGTATCCTGCAAAAATTCTTTTTAGCAGTTATAGACAGAAAGTATAATTGTCTATTACTTCTTGGAAATAAACCACCGACGTGTTGGGAAACTCAGCTTACTTGAGTTTATTTGTTAACAATTCTCAAGTGAACTAGATGCCCAACTTAGCCGAGCTTGAACATGTATACATATAAGGTAGGGTTATAATAAAAAATCAGTGTAAGAACTAGGAACTCATCCCAACCCTCTGTTCTGCTAACCCCTGATTGCATTTAACCATGTATGATGTTGTCTTTTACAGCAGATGATTCTACTATATATATGTACCGCTGCTATTTTAGAATAATTCATAGATTAAAAATAGCATCACACACGCTAGCATCATAGAACCCTTATCGAGGCTTTATGATCGAATCAGATTTCACGCTGTCCGCTGTGAACAAATAGAAAGCTACTGATTAGTAGTATTTTCTCAATTTTTGTGTGTGTGTGTGTGTGTGTGTGTTTGTGTGTGTGTGTGTGTATCGGTGTGTGTTGATCAGGTGTTCATGTGTGAATTGATGTCCTTGACGCAATAGACTTTGCAAATATACCTTCTTCATGCTCGCTTGATTCCTTGCACAAAATGGTGGCAGAGAATGGTGGCACCTTCTCAATGAATCTGAACAATTCGGTTACTCACTGCATAGCCTCTGAAAGTAGAGGTCGGTTGGTCTTTTCATGTCTCAAGTTACATGAATGTGAAAATCTCATATTTCAGAAGGCATGAGCTTTTGTAGTTATTTAACAGGGTTAAAATTCCAGGCTGCTAAGCGCCAAGGAGACGTTATTCATTACTCTTGGTTTGCCGACTGTTGTGCACAGAAGAAACTTCTTCCATTGCAGCCTAGGTCGGTCATCTGGGCATTTTGGTCTCATTTACTTGAAATATTGTTCCCACCTATTTATTTACTTATCTTTTGTTTCTTTTAAGGTACTTTCTTTGTCTGTCTGACATGACAAAGGAAAAGCTAGGAGAAGAAATCGACAAATTCTCGGACTCATACTTCCTGGATCTTAATGTGACGGACCTCAAACAGGTAAAACAAAAAAGGAAATTTGGTGCATTGAGCATGCCTGATCAAGCCTACTCATATATATATATCTGGTTTTTAGATCTTTAGCAGCATGGGTAAGGTTGAAGATTCTAAAGGAAAAGAGTATTACAAGAAAAAATACTCTCCGAGGGAGGATTGGGTTCGCTTTCATGGTTGTCGCGTTTACTTCCATCTTCACGGGTAATATGTCATAACATGCTTTGTATTTATACTTGTATTATAATTACGGATTTAGTACAACCGTATTGGATATGGCAATTAGACTTGGGATTTGATTTTTTTCCCTTTCCATTTGCTTTCAGAAAAAATAGGAATTTGGACATTCCGCTTGAACTTGCAATGAGAAGGATGAAGATCGAGATTCGCAGTGGTGGTGGTAGTGTGTCAGATACCCTTTCATGTGCTACACATTTAGTAGTTGTGGCTTTGCCACAAACTGATGTGGACTTTAATGCACTAATGAATAGGTAAGCTACATTTTTTCAATGTTGTTTATCTGGACTTTTGGTAATTTTATTTATTTATTTTTTTTTTTTACACTTTAACCACTAATGTATTATGGCTGGAAAATGAAACTTGTGTCATAGTTACATGCTTCTAAATTTGCTTTGAGTGCAGTTTACACCTGTTACTCTGTCCACAAAGATAACTGCTTTATCATACCACACAGTTAAAAACTTATCTTTTCATCCGATACTCGTAATATGGGCAAAATATTAAGTAGGGAACCCGAAAGAAAGTACTTATCTTTTTAGCATGAATCATTTTATATTATCAGTAGAAGACTTGAGCTGGACAGAGTTAAAGAAAAACTCAACGGATGTTGAACTGATAGCCATGTCAAAAAGAAAAAAAATAAAAAATGTAGTTGGTGCTGAAAGAGGGGAAAAAACAAATCGCAGCAAGCTATAGTCAGTTCTATTTCTTCTGCATTATGTGACTTAGGCCATTTCACAGGCTCAAGCAATTTAACCAAAAGAAACGTTATTCTATAGGGAAAAGGTAAGGCATATATGAAAGAAACATAATAATTCCCAAATGAAAAGAGTGCACATACATTGAGGTTTAATAAGAACAGAATCAAGACAAAAACTTTGAAACAGGTTGCATCAATTTGTAGGGCACTAGATTTCATCCAAGAAAGAAAGAGGAGAGAAAAAATCAATGAAGATAGCTTCAGAAATCTGGAGTTAGATGTAATAACAGAGAGAATTAGTTTCTGCAGAAAGTGGAATCATAGCAAGAAAGGCGCCGGTCTATATCTTTTCCCCCTTTGGCATTTTCCCCTCTTTTCAGTAGTGATATTAACTTTTCTAATTAAATGTACGCTCAATCATTTCCTTTCCTAAAGGTGTTCGTAACCTTTAAGTTTTTCTTTCAGGTCCCTAATTGAAAGTTGGAGCATCTTACAATTCTTGGATTGATAAAATCCCTAATTATTATATAATTATATTATTTACATTTTAATGATGATTCTATGTTGTTCACAACCATGCAAAATTATATAAGGACATAGTTTCTGTATTATCTGACATGTCTTCATGACAAACTATTGATATTTCACTTTCGATTTTGAATGAGATTATTGAAGATTTATCATGCGAAATAATTATATATTTTGTTATCGACAGTTTCTCGGAGGTGGACAAGCATCTGTTGGGCAGAAGAAATTTGCAAATTGTCAAGTCTCAGTGGTTGGATGACTGCTTTGATAAGGACCGGAAATTGCCCGAGGACAGATATAGTTTGATTCCTGAGGGCTTCCAAATGACGTCAACCGGAGAAGGGTGAGTCCCTCTTGTGATGTTCACTTGCATTTTCATAATACATGCAAACACGCTCATACATTTGCCTCCATGTGTATTCGAACATTATTGTTTCAGAATTGAAGATATTATTCATAATATTTCTGGCTAAAAAAGTTTGTTTAATATTAGTCTGTTTCCGTTCTTCAGTGCCGAGTTTGAAGATAACCCCAAAGAGCATCATAGCTCAGGATTTGGATCCAGAGATTCATTGTCTTCTTATAAAGATGGGAAGAAAGGTATTACATCAGAAGTAAAGCCAAGACTTGTAAGCTTGCCGAACAACAGAAGTGGGAATAGGAAAAGAGGAAGACCCATTGGGAGTAGCACAAAAGGAGGAAAACAGGCCGTGAACAAGTCTCGACGAACAAGGTCACGGGTCGGTCACAAGCCTGCCAAGATCAACGAAAACGAATCAGATCAAGACACTTCTTTGGACAATGGAAAAGATTCTGAAGCCAATGAGGTCGTAGAAGAAATCAAGAGAATGTCAGATCAAAATCGGCCTAGAAGAACAAGGGCCCGAATTATCCACAAGCCCCCCGTGATTGTTGGAGATGATGTGGATTTAGAAGTCTTAGAAGATAAGCAAAAGGAACACTTGCCTTCCGGGACTGCAAATGGTCCTGAAACTCAGACCAATGAGGCAGTGAAAGATTCCACATCAGAAGGCAAAGCACTCGACGAAATAAAAGATCATAGTGAATATGGACAAAAATTTGACAAAATAAATGATGTTACTGGCAGACAGGGGTGTAGTAGTAGTAGTACTCAGTACAAGGGACGAGTGGAAGACGATATTGATCCGCTTGAGGCAATGTTGCTCAACATGGTTCCTATGCTGGCTAAGACAGCTGTTGGAAGTTCGAACCCTGTTCATGTAGATGTTGAGCATAAATGTCTTGACCCCAAACCTGAAGAGGGAAAATCATCTTCAGATGCTGATACTCAACTGGTTAAGAAACCGAAAGTGAGCTTTAGGGATCTTGCTAAGGAATTACTGGAAGAATGGTAAAAGGATTATGGAATGAGCGTTGTCTTGTATATTTATGTATTTTGTGTGCTTATGCAATGTGCTCTGTTTACTGGGTGGTGTTAAGTATGGTTTGCAGAAAATATGAAACTAGCGTCTTCTATTAACAATGAAAAGAAAGAACATATTTTTTCCCTTTAGTTTCTTGGTCTGGACATCAATTGTTTTGCAGTCAAGATATCATGAAGAATTCACTAAGATGAGTGTCAAAATGAAAACTGGTTGGCCTTCCATTGGCATGAGGACAAATCTGTGATCTGTGGCCTTGAGAATGTTGGTTAACGTTTGCCTTTGAAAAGTACAAAGATGCATTATGAGTTGAGATAATATAACTTAGGGTGAGCATGGGTTGGTAAGGTTAGGAGATTGATAAATTTTCAAAATTGTACCGAAATTTGTAGATCATTAAAATTTAATCTCTGGAACCGTACCAAAAAATGGGTTCGGTTCTTGGGATATCGGTTCAGTTCGGGGTGGATATTTGGAGATTTTTGATTATTTTTAAATTTTTTTTAAATGGCCACCTAGTTGAATTTTAAGTTTTTTATGTTTTTTTTTTTAAATCCAACATTCTTCAATACTTTACCATACTAAATATTTTATTTTTAAATTAACTGCAGAAGTAACTCTAAATTTTAGTAAAGACTAAATTTGTGCAACTAACATTGAAAATTCATATTTCAAACAAAATGTAATATATTTGTTTTATTAAAGTAAGATTTTATTAACTTTTCATACCATGTTAGTTAAAATATAGAATAAGACTTGTCAAATTTAAATAATGTTTAAATATTTTTTTTGCAATACTTCTTTAATTTTTTATACCATTTTAAATACTTTTTTTTTTTAACTAGGAAAATTCAATTGTAGATCAAGTAGTACTAAGCATGAAATTTAAGTGAAACATAATGGTTATAACTATAATTATTTTCTTTTTAAATTTTTTTAAATTATATAGGATTAAATTTGACATAAAATATATTACATCACATATCCATTTTTATAATTTGTTCTTATTTTCGGTTTGATATGATACCAGACGGTTTGGTTCGGTTCTCAGTCCGAATATTTGTGAAATCTTCAGAACCGTACCAATTACTTTTTCAGTTCGGTTCGGTTCGGAGAAAATCAAACAATCAAGGTTATTTTTCGACTCGGAAATTTCGGTTCGGTTTTCGGAACGGTTCAGAATTCTCCGAGTCCCATGCTCAACCCTATAACTAACGCGTTTTTAAAAAAATACAGAAGTAAATTTGAGTACATATAACATAAGTTATGAAAAGCTACTCCACTTTCGTTCAAAATAGTGTTCTATTAAAAATAAACAACAATGCTTCAAATCATGAATTATCCACATATCGATGAGCAATTTTTACACAACCGTTTTTATGTTAACCTCGAACCAGTTTGCTCTGGAAAAAACCTGCAAAACATGTCGAGTGTTCCTAACGGTAGACCTCCGATGATCAAGTTAGTTCTCAGAATATGAAATATAGAAGTGTGTAAGTATATTATAAAGTTTAGAAATTGTGTAACTCTTACCCTTTCATATCTGATACCTATATTTAGTGAACTCTTGACTTGTTCAAGTTTTGCCCGATCTTACGGACCGAGTGGCTAGGCTCCCCGATGGTCTCCCAGACTGTTATCTTGCTACGTCCTAGGTCTGTCTGAGACCCATTCTTGTCCCTAAGATGACCTAGATCCTTCCTAACTAACCTTCCACGGGTACACTACTAGTAGGTCCACCGACCTATTATCTGCAGGTCTTTTACCTATATAAACTCCATAAGTCATCTCATGCTAACTGTCTATATGTCCACATGTTTAATTGCCCGCATGTCGGCCATACACTGCCAGTAAGTCTATATGTGTAAACTACACATAAGTCCACCGACCTATTAATCCTAGGTCCCTTAGGTACATTACTTGTAGGTTTACCGACCTACTGTCCATAGGTTTGCATACATAAACTGTCCTCAGGTCGACCAAGCATACTGTCAATAGGCCAACACCATGTCCGAGCTACCCATATGTCTTTTTTCATTCTAGCTATTAGATGTTATAATTGTGATACCTGAGCTACCTGTAGGGTAACCCACCTGAGTTACTATAGATTAACTCAACCGAGATAAATAAAAATAGCTAACCTGAGCTGCCTAAAACACGCTCATTTGAGCTAACTATGGCTGGTTCATTCGAGTTGTTTCATATTATATAATTTAGCCCTCCATTATCAAACGAGCTATTGCTCTTCGAGCTACATAGAATTTTTTGATGATGATGATAATATCAATATTAAAGAGATCTTCGCCAACCTAGGATCTTGGAGACATACCTTGTACAACGATCTTGTCTTTTCGTCTGTCTCATTGTCAGACGCTTCTAATTCCATATATTCAGCTTGCTTATCAGCCCTTCATCTTCATCAGATCCAATGGTAAACTCCTCATGACATTTCCTATAACGCTTGCCCATTTTGTTGTCTTAAAATTTTTTCGCACATTGAACTCTCTGTACTTTACAAAATATCGGCAAATTTTCTGCAAAATGATTTTCTCCTCACATTTTGACGACCCGTTTCTCTAGTTCCGAAAACAACATCACGATGTATTTGTTAAAATTTACTATAAAAGTTTGGCTTTCAGATTCTAGCAATTCTATTTTAATCTGACACTCATGTTTTAGTCAAACTATTTATATTTGCAAATTTATTTATTTATGCAAATCATAAATTTGTTTATCTCACATTGTAGATAGTATGGTTCATCGTGTCGAACATAAAGATCATACTATCGGTTTCTTGTAAGATGAATCTATTGTTCACAGTTAGACAGACGTTGAAACCCCTGTTGGAAAAAGACTGTAGTGTAGTTTTGTTCAGTTGGTCTTTGACTGATAAATTACACAATTACTTATGATAAGTATCGAAAGGACCACGTAAGGATTAGATTATAAGATTTATTGATCGTAATTATAATTTAGACATTCAGTAATTGATGCGTACTCTTAAGCCGTAATGTAATAAACAAGCATATATTTCATTACTTGTTTATTTAATTTACCAAGGGTGCTCCTATTTTATTAGGATGACATACTCAATATTTTGGTAAATGATAATATTTATATGATGTGCTGTTATAATTAGTTACGGTCACTAGTCCCATGTCCCAGTGCGCCGAGTTGATGATATCCCCGAAATGAGCTCATGAATGAATATTATGTCAAGCCCTGCACGCGGATGGTTTTTTGACACGATGATTAAGGAACTGAGTGGTACTAATTTCAGAACAATAAAGAACTCGATTTAATTTTGTTGTAAGTAATATAATTAATCGACGAACGTTATATCTGTAACATAGAGATGGTAAATCGATCAATTAGATTAATATTTATTAATTAAGCGATGGTTCATATATATTGAATAAATTGGATCTAAATGCAGAGAGCAATAATATTACTCTAGTGGAATGCCTTATTATTTGATTCTATGTTGGAACTAAAAATTAATTATTTTCCATTATTTTTTTCCCTAAGAAGAAGAATATTCCTTCTAGGATATCACCCTAGGGTTAGGAGATTTTGAAGTCTTCAAGGGTAATTAGGGTTAGAAGGAATAAGGCTTCTAGAAGGAAAATGATATGGAGGATGATTAGGTATCTTAAACTTAATAGGATAAGCCTATATT